TTTTTTTTTTTTCCCTGTTGGTTTTCTTTAGCTGTGTCATTGGCTCTGGATGTAACTTACTGGAACAATAGTAGTGTCATTATTATCACATCTATTCTTCGGAATTTCCAGAACTTTCCCCAAACCATGGATCACTCCCTTGTCAGTGGCTGCATTGGTGTAGTTTATGTAAGCATCATTTACATAGAGCTGTGAACAAGAGGGTTAAACGTGAGTTGTTGTTATGCTGTTTTTAAGGGGACAGGGAAGATGGGGATTGAAGGCTATCAGTATGAAAACAGCTCAGGGAACATCATTGCCACCATGCAGCTGTGTGACATTGGGCCAGTTGCTTCTCCTCTCTGAGGTTCAATTTTTGCTTTTATAAAAAGAAGGGGTTGTTCTAGATCATCTCTAAGGTTTCTCTCTATCCTTCAAATTAACTGATTTACGATTCTTTGAAAACTACTGAATTATGATTATTATGTTAGTGCTTATTGGCAAGATGGTTCCATGGACATGCTGAACTGTAGACTGGGGGTTCCCGAGAGGTTAATGTCTCCTCAAACCAGGATATGGAGAATGAAACTCATTGTCCTTTTAGAATGTCTCTACTTTGTCGCTAACTTGCAAGCAATCCTCAGAAAGGCTACATGACAGAGAGGAATAAAATTACTACCATTGGTGAGTGTTTTAGAGTTTATAAAATCTCTATGATTAAGACAAATTGCAGTCAATGTCATGAGACAGTGTGAACTGCTGTATGGAAAGTGAATTTGCTTAGTAAACTCTCATCTAAATCACAATTTAAAGAAAAAAGTATCATATCATTTCCCAGTATGGGGTCTCCATTACCATATGTTTGTTGGGATGCATGGTATGTTTGATCCTGTCTGTGTCTAGTATGCCCGTCAGCATCCAAGAAGGGGGCTGTGTCAGTGTCAAAATCCTGCCACCTCAAATTCAACCGAATTGTCATTTGTTTTGTTTTGCTTTTTAAAGGAGGGAATACCTTAGTGAGTAATGAAACAAAAATAAGTGAACCCATTAATTCATTCATTAATATAACCAAAATAACTGAAGAAATGGTGCTTTGAAAACTTGAAGTGGTGGATTTGTATAGGTGTAACATGGCTGAGGTTGGGAAGGGAGGGACTATTGTACCAAGCAGATATCCTGTTAGTATCCGATGTGAGTTAAACAATTTAAAGTAACAGCCCCAACATTCTCCACTGCAGCAATATTGAAGTAACTCTACTAAGTGCTTAAAGTGTATGCTAAAGTCCCTTGTTGTTTACTTGGAGTCATGTGCATTTCCACTTGGATGCTGGGATAAGTTGTGGCTGAACTCTATAAATTTGTTTCAGGGTCTGTGTAGATGTGGAAAACTTGAACAAACTTTACTGGTGGTGTCCAATAGTTTTCCAGAATTTCAGGACAATGAGTTATACTTAAATACCACAATAGCAGGACTTTTGATACTGTAATGCTGCTGATTTGACATAAAAAAAAAAATTGAATCAGTTTCATTGTAGGATGCACCCAGAGAATGATAGGTGGCATTAAAATTTTGATGTGAATATAAATTCATTCATTAGAGAGCATTTTCTATATCTCCATTGACCTGAGAGAAAGTGAGTATCAACAAAAGCAAAGCCTCTATTATAAACATAACTCTTGCTCTAGATAAAAGAATTTTCAAACTAATGGAAAATGAACATGACAGTACTGAAACTGATTCAACTAACTGCATATTTACATGATGAAAGAAAAGAAGACATAGATAAAAACAAAATGAAAGCTATAAATAACAAAATTGCCATTCCTGGAAATATAAGAAGATGTATTCAAAAGGATTCTCTCAAAAAGCTATTAAAGATCTATTACATGTGTAATAGATGGGATTATTTCTAAGAGTCAGAGTAAATTATTTGGATTTAGCTTATTCCTCAGGTAATTATGAGTCAGAAAGACTTATTTTACCCCCAAGGAGATAAAAAATTTTCACAGAAAAATTCATTTGTGATTTGATGAAAACAACAATGAAGAAATTATTTTTAAGATTTACTTTATAGAAGGATAAAATAATGTTACTGATTAAAAATTTCATGATGAAACTTTCTTTGTTTTAATATACTTCTTGGTTCATCTTAAATAATATTTTAATTAATTTTTCTCATGAGAATATATATTATAATTCTATTGTGGGTTTCTTGTTGGATTTTCATATTGATATTTTCACTTGATGTTGGAAGTATCTGAATACAATTATATTTAAAATATATTAAATATTTAGTAGAATATATTTTTTAAATGAATTATCAACACTTAACTATGGGTATTATGTGAAACAAATACTGGAAGTCAGGCCTGGTGGTCTGTTGGCTCTAGGACTGAAATCTCTGTGGTCATCAATCAATGACAGTAATTCACTTGGCTGCTGGTCCTTCAGAGGTCATTAGGTTCCTTATGCCCTGGAATACTACTTCCTGGGAGTTTGTTTGGGTGCTTTGGACTCCCTTGGAGATTGAGTAGGGGACTGTGATGAGTTTGTTGTACCAATGACTGCTGGCATTCAAACACCAGAATTCACAAAGCTACACTGATTATCTGAAGACTGTCAACAGGGAAGATGACTGGGAACTTGACAGTCTTGTTTAGTCATTACTTTATGGTGAAACACAGCTGTCTTTTGTTGACAAAGCATTGCAAACATTGGTGAGATTATTCCAGGACAGGAATGATGATGGATAATGGTAGCTAAGGCTCTCAGTTTTGGGTTTTAAATAAAGAGGGTATACCTGGTCATTGTGGAGAAAGAAGCCAAGGAAGTAGGAGAAACCCAGCATGGTCTCCCGATGCATGCCATTGTGCAGGTCATTCTTCAGGAGTTTCTCCTCCAGGATCACGTGGTACTTGACTATGTCCTCCTTCTGGACAACACACAGAATTGAAAGTGAGCCAGTCACCACTTACCAAGTTTCACCAAAATGCCAGGCACTTTTGAAACCAAAGCTTTGACCGAGACTTTAAGACACAAGAGCTATTAAATACTAAAATGATTTTTGAAACAGATCACCTAGGAGTTCCTGCAAATGTTCTAAGTAGAATGGCCCAAAACTCATTAGGTGACTCTAAAACCTAGACTGAGGATATGATAGGTTGAGAGGGGCATTTAAAGATTATTATTATTTTTATTTTTGGAGAACTACTGATGAAGAGAGTCTCCACATCCCAGCCTGCCTTTCATCTTAGGGGTCATGAGAGGAGGTTCAACAGGATGTGTCAAAGAGCTTGATCTGTGTCCCCTGCAGATAGGGTGGCATGTTGGACTGGGGTCTGATTCAAGTGTGAGAATCTTATAATCCAGAGACGGCTGGCAAATGGATGAACAGTGGAGGGAGGAGAGTTGTTACTGCACCGGGATAGGCCTGCGTTCCTGTACTTGTCTTGGACAACAGTGTGTATGTTTCTTGAGGACCAGCTGTGTGGCTGTGTCTGAGGGCACCATTGCTGTAGGTCTTATTCAAAATGGCTGCCTGGAAGGGTGTTCTCTAGATGAAAAGGCGGACATGATCTCTAGATTCTTAGGGTCTGAGAAGGAAAGAAGTGATGGAGGAATAGAGTGTATTCACACAGGTCAAAGGAATAACAAGTCTGAGACCATGGATGATGCGTGAGATCTTTAAAGAACTCAGGACAGTGGCCATAAGAGAGATATTAAGCTTAAACACTTGCCAGGCCCAGAAGGTTCAATGCTGTATCTTGACAGTACCAGCACCAGTCAGATAAGAACTTTCCTGCTTACTAATAATGTCTCTTCTCAACCACCAACACTTCTTGCACCTCAAGTTCTAACCAGGTCAGACTAAACCTACATTTAATGAAGTCGAGGAAGGGTGTGGAAACATAATGTGGGGAAAGCCCTATGTAGCACAGTTCTAGTCTGACACACCTGGGGTCACCATGAGTTGGAGTCGATTTGACAGCAAGTAGTTTTTTAGATTTGAACAAAGGCACCAAGAGAGATACATCTTTGGTGTGTTTGGGCACTATGAGGTTATCACTCTGGTTAGAACACATGGTTTCTACAGAGAACTGGTGGGTGAGAACAGTGGGCTCAAAACTGGCTTAAAAGAGATGGGCTTTAACTTCTAGCCCTCCTCTCATTAGCATCTTTATCTCAGCCAACTTATATAAAGATAGAAGTGAAAACGATGTGCTTATTATGCAAATACAGCTTCAAGCACATCTTCTCATTGTGGAGTGGGGCAGCCTTGGGCCCTTCCTATATGAAAATTCTGGTGCCAGTTTATGGAGCCTGTTCACTGGAGCCTTAAACACCTGTTGCAGTAGTTTGAACGTAATCCTGCAAGAACTTGGGATCCATTGAAGAATTTTGAGCCAGAAAGTGGCAAGACTGAAGCTTTTTATTATTTTATAAAATCTTTTGACAGATTTTGTCTGTTTACCCCTAGATGTTAGAAATCAGGGAAGATAGAGAGGGAGTGAAGAGGAAGCAGACAGAGATGATTGACTCCTTCTGTGTCCCGGCTTCTGACATCTCAGCTCCTGGGAGCAGAGAGAGGTCAGGGAGGAAGAAGACGTGGTAGTAGGTCACCTTCCTTTGTAGTCTGTCTTAGTCTGGAAGTTCTGCCAAAACCTGTTCAGCATCATAGCAACATGTGGCCATGAATATCATTCTAGGTTCCTGGGACGTCTGCATCTTTGCGTATCTGGAACCAAGTATGAGCTCTTAAGGGTATACATTAAATATATGGGCAGCTCTGGGACCAGGTTGGTGTGTGTCAGGGACTCCCTGTGTGGCTTTGTGCAAAGTATCTGGATATGGACAAGGAAGTTTTGATGGAAAAGCAAAATGGTCTATAACTGATGGCTTGAAAATGTTGAGTGTCTTAGTTTCAGGAAATAACTTCCCTGAGTATTGTTCCCAATACCTACTAGTGTTGCAGCTTTCTTCACCCTGATATAATTCTCAATGGCATCATTGTTCGGAGCAAACACTGTGTAAGCATCGGCAGCCTCGATTGCATTTGCCAGGTTATATTGCTGTGATGGAAAGAGACAAGAGTGTGTGAGGGATCTCCATTCCTGGATCACCTGGGCAGGTCGGTCATGCAGAGAATGTGGTACTTGCAATGATGTAGCCCCGGAAGATGGAATAGTCAGGCATCTGGTCCAGCCGGGTGAGCAGGTTTGGTAAGGAGCCAGTTAGACTTCTTTGGGGAACCAGAACCTGGCAAAGAAAGCCCAAGAATTCTGTGAACACATCTTTGTAGCACTTGCTATGTGGCAAGGCACAGAAATGTCCCACTGACTTCTGTAGTCAGTCAAAATAACTGACACTGAAAATGTTTTGAAGATCACTCACAAACTAAAAACATTCTTGGATGCTGAGTGACAATGCTGGAAGGGACTTCAAGATGATGTTATTAATTCAATTTTATGTATAGTCCTTAAATCTCCCTGAAAGACACAATTTTACCTTACAGAAAAGATTTTATAATCTTTATAATTTAATAATTCCTCTGCAATAACCCATTCCAACTTTTATTACTCTACACTGTCAGGGAAAAAGAAAAAGAAAAAAACCAACTATATAGCTGTCAAATCAATTCCGACTAATGCGGACCCTATTGGACAAAGTAGATCAGCCCATGAAATTTCCAATGCTGTAATCTTTATTGTAGCAGACTGCCATATCTTTCTCCTGCAGAGCAGCTGGTGTGTTTAAACTGCTGATTTTTCAGTTAGCTGTTGAGCACTTTAACCATTGTGCCACCAGGGCTCAGGGAAGGTCTTAAAATCTAACTGAAATCCTACAGGCTGCAGCTTAAGTCCTTTTTGTTGTGTTGTTGTTGCTCGTTTATTTATTACTCAGTTTTTCTCATTACCTTTCTATTTACCTATAAGTCTTAAACTGCAAACCAGTGGGCTGAACTGGGCTTGTGAAAGGTTTTGTTTATCTCATGCAGTGTATAAATATAGAGAATTTCCATCTAAAAATCTAGTTTTGTGACTTCTGTTTAAAAACATCAGTCTGTATTCCTGCAGGCAACATACAGGTGCAGGAAGTAGTTGAAGCTCCTTTAGTTACAGTCCCCACCACCCCCTAATGCCTTCTACTAGGTCCTTTCACTCATTTTTATCATCTATTTGATCTATATAGGCATTTGAGTCTTTAAGCCCTGCATGATTAGCCATCTGGACAAGATAACTATTTCCATCTTCTCGTTTCACACAGAATCTTCTGAGATCGAAGAATTCAAAATTGGAATATTTTCTAATTAAGCCAATCTTCAACCAATGTTTATTGAGCCCTGGTGGGGTTAAGTGCTCGACTGCTAACCAAAAAGTTGGCAGTTCAAAGCCACCAGCCACTCTGCGGGGCAACAGACTTGGCGATCTGTTCCCATAAAGAGTATGGCTAGAACACCCTATGGGGCTCTTCTACTCTGCCCAAAGGGTCAATATGAGTCAGGAGTGGCTCGACAGCACACAATAACAACAGTACTGGCCAGGCAGGGAATAGGACAATGTGATTGAGGCCTGGGTTCTGCTCTCTAGGAGCTGACAGTCAGTAGAGCAGAGGCCAGCAAACTTCAGTTCATGGTCCAAATTTAGTGTGCTGCCTGTATTTAAAAATAAAGCTGTACTGGAGCACAACCACATCCATTTGGCACGTAAAGTCCACATGTCCACATCATGTAACAATATGCAATATGAGAACCACTGCTAGTCCATGGGGTGCCTCTACAGATTTTAAAAAAGTCACTGCTGGCTCTGGGAGTTTGCAACTACAAACAGGAGCACACAACATGGGGAGTGGGCTGGATTTTAGCATGGTTGATCTTCTTGGCCAGGAACCGTAATGCAGGGCACAACCCACACAACTGTAGAAGGCGGCCCTGACAAAGGTGATGAAGATGCTCAGTGGACAGCTACAGAAGGAGTTCTTTAGGGAGCTGGAGCAACACAGAGACGAAGCAGAGACCTTGAGTTGGTAGACACGCATCCATGAATTTTGTGTGTTCACATAACTTCTACCTCAATCCAGTTACCTGGCCAAGCTAAGCTTCAGTTTTCTCACTTGTGAAATTGGGACAATAACAAAACAAAACAAAAAAACCAAACTCACTTCCACCGAGTCAGATTCGACTCATAGTGACCCCTCCTTGGGTTTCCGAGGCAGTATCTCTACAGAAGTAGATTGCCCAACCTTCTTTCCAAGGAGTGGCTGGTGGGTTTGAACCGCCAACCTTCTGGTTAGCAGTCAAATGCTTTAGGCACTGCACCACCAGAACAGCACCTTCTTATTTAAAATTGTTTATAAAATCAAATGATGTGGTGCCTGACAACTGGTACAGTACCTGGCTCATAGGAGGCCCTCAATAATTCTAATTATTACTATGACAAGATGAGATGCTAGTGCTTAAGAGGTACAGAAAAGAGGCAGCCCTATCCCTCTGCAGCATGTCATCATATAGGGGTTCAGGACCCATACCAATAAGGAGCAACTATCAATATACCACAACCAAACCCACTGCTGTCAAGTCGGATCCGACTCATAGTGACGCCTCCTTGTGTTTCCAAGGCAGTATCACTATGGAAGTAGATTGGCCAACCTTCCTTCTGAGGAGTGGCTGGTGGGTTTGAAATGCCAGCCTTCTGGTTAGCAGTCAGATGCCTTAGGCACTATGCCACCAGAGTGTATTATATGAAAATAAGACAGTGTATGTGTTCCAATCAAATTCTGTAAGAAAAAATTCCCCAGGATTTCAGAGGAAGGAGAAGGAAAACAAACTCTACTTTTTAAGGTTGGGCAACCCTACTTCTGCAGTGATACTGCCTCGGAAACCCAAGAAGGGGTCGCTATGAGTCAGGGTCGACTCGATGGCACATAACAACAACAAATTTTATTTTGAGAGTGTACTAAACAGCAGGCACTGAGAGAAACAGTATCATTTAATCCTCATAGGGGAAGAAAAATGAGGCTCAGAGAGGTTATGTAACTTGCCCAAGGTCACACAGCTAGCTAAGTACCTGAGCCCTGCCTGACTCTGTTCAAGTCTTTTGATATGTTGGGTAAGTGGTATGAATGGTGGAGGTCAAGGAAGGTTCCAGAGAGGAGGTGGGACTTGAACAGTTGCTATGATAATAATATTCCATGTATGATCTGGGTTGAGGTGCCACTCCAGCAAATGAGGTTGTGTCTATCAAAAAATGTGAGAAGAAGAGGTAATTTTATGTTGTTTTGTTTAAGGATTTCTTAGTACTTTGGAAAGTCAGGACCGGAGAAGAAAAATCCCCTTAACAAATAATATTGCTTTGCATTGTATGAAGTCGTAGAGCCAGAATAGTTTCCCACACATGATGAATCACTTGCTCAAAAATGCTGTGTTTCTTAGCACCTCTTGATAAAAAGGAGGAGGACAAGGCCTCTGCAGAATCACGCACCTGGAGCCTGATGACTCTCCCTCTTTCCTGAACTGAAATACTTGACCTTTTCTTTAACTTAAAATATAAAAGGTGAGTAGATAGAAAGTACCAAGTGAGAATAATTTTAGTTAAAATGCAATTAGTTAATTGGTTTTCCAATCCTTCACCTTCCGAAAGTTCCCAGTCTACCTTAATTATGATTTAAATTTTAAATGAAGACCTTAAGGTAGCTAACTGAAAAGTACAAGGTAGTTTAAACCCCCCATTTTCCCTAATCTTTTTTTTTTTCCCCCTCCTAATGCATACCTTTAAATTCTATGGAATTGAGTCTTAGAAGAAAATGAAAATCTTGAAATTTTTTTTTTCTACCTTTTTCCTGGGATCTTCCTCACCCCATCTTTTTAGGGGAAAATAATGCAGAGGGATGTGGAAAATGATACACAACCATTTGCCTCCCCTCTAGTCCTTGTTTCGATCTCATCCGTATGTATGTACTTCCCAATACAGGGTCCCTATGTGCCTTTTCGGGAGCTCTGGTAGCATAGTGGCTAAAGCACTTGA